CCCCAAAACCCCAAAACCCCAAAACCCCAAAACCCCTTTTAATATAATTTAGTTGAAACTAATTAGGGTTACCTTATATCAAACCTAGTTCTTTTTCGAATACGTTGACTACGAATCCTGAGCGCAGTTTAGGTTCAAACCAAGTGCTTTTTGGTGGCATGATCTCTCAAGCATCTGCTACTGCAAAGAGGTCATCCATTTTAACAGGATGCATTACAAATGCTGCTTTTCAATCTTCGCCTCATCTCTTGACCAAATAGTCAATGCCTCTTCCACCACCAACGAACTCAACACGACCATCTTTCTTAATGTTCTCAATTCCCATAATGTCCTTGAACAAGAAGTCAGTGAGGACAGTGTAGTCAAGGTTGAGAGAGACTTCTTCTCTAAGTAATTCTTGCTTGAGTTGGAGGTCATACCAGGCTTCTCCCAAATACATTGAAATATGTCCTGCTTCCTTGGCTTCGTAGTCATCTCCTTTGATCTCTTCTACGTCAAAGTTCTTCCTGACCTTCTCAAGAAACTCTTCTTCAGTCATATCATTGAGAGTATTCAGAAGCCTATTGTAAGGAAGGATTTTGGTTTGATCTGCTGGAAAGATAACAGTCATGAAGAAGTTAAAGGACTCATTTCCAGTCACTTCCTTGCCTGCTGCTATCTCTCTTTCTCTTCTTCTCTTACCAACGTTGTATGCTGCTGCACTCCTGTGATGTCCATCTGCGATATAAAGACTATCGACTTCCTCGAATGCAGTTACAATCCAGTTGGAATCTTCTTCCGAACATTTCCACAGTGTATGAACTACACCATCCTTTGTGGTTACCTGAGCATAAGCCTCTTCATTAGAGATCTCAGAGATCTTCTTGACAATGTCCTCTTTTTCTCTGAAGGAGTAGAAGACCGGTCCAGCATTAGCACATTGTGTATCACAAAGATTTGTTCTCTCAAGTTCAACCTCTGGTAGAGTGTGTTCGTGCTTTTTAATTTTACCAGAATCATAGTCGTCAATAGAAGCAAGAGCCATGATTCCGAATTGGAGATGATCCCCTAACTGCTGAGAATAGATATAGATTCTCTCTTTTTCATCTCTGACTAAGTATCCTTTCTCGATGAAAGATTCCAAGTTCTCTTTACCTTTGTTAGCAATTTCTTCATTCGTGGCATCATCAGGGAGGTCGATTCCTGGCTTATTGATGTGATAATAGTACATATCATTGTCCCCAGTCTCCTCTCTGGCTTCTTTAATGCTTCATACATCATAAGGAGGACTGATGATTTTATCTACGTCATCTTTGTTAGCGAGATATCCTCTGAATTTTCTTAACTTTACCATAAAATTTTAATTTTTATATTAAAATCAAACTTAATCCTATTTATACTATGACTTGGGATTGTGTAATAGACACAGACCAAAAGCGAGAGAAGCCACAAAGCCTATAGATTCTCTTCTGAGAGCCTCATAGTGTTTTTATTGAAAGCCAGGGTTTACAGAGCAATCAATTAGGGAAAATAAAATATCAAGTTTAGGTTTGCGTCAAACTACGTAATAAATGCAATTTATGTGCCCATGCGAAATATTTTTGAGTTTTACACAAATCCTTGCAGGATTTTTAGGAACACTCTATTCTAATTGTTCCCATCTAGCATGCTCAATCGCTTGAATTATATCTCAAAAACGATTATATAGAGTATTTCAAACTCTGGGACCAATGATTACTACTTTTAGGATGTTTCTAAGCTATTATCCCTTAAAATACCAGATATTTTCCCCAGAAATCATCAACTCAGATGTTCCACTTCACTATCTTCTTTCTCAATCCCCAAAATCTGTGATTCTCTAAAACAATGACAAAAACAACAATAGCCAGCTACTACCCTCAAAAGCAACACTCAGGCTAATCTCTAAAAAATCCTACAGCCTAAAAACACAAGTATATTAAATAAAAAATCTAAAGGCTGCAGAAAGCGACCTTAGCTCATATAATAATTTTCATTAAAAATCTTATTCTATTCAATGATTTAGAGGTAGAAAGGGGTTTTGGGGTTTTGGGGTTTTGGGGTTTTGGGGTTTTGGGG